TTATGGGATGTTTTCTTTATTCCTTCTTTTCTCAAATGGTTCTTCAGCTGATTTCACTTTTATTGACAATTTTATCTTAATTGTTTTTGAATGAATAGTTAGCCCTGAATTTATCTAGACTTGATCCTGATTCAAGTCGTATACTTAACCCAAAGATAGGTGCTAAACCTACTATCCAACTAATAAAAACATTGAAGCGTTGATATAATTTAACTATTCTGTTAAATAAAAGTTTATTACAATTAAAACAAGAAGTTACACAACCATAATCCGAATCATAGTGCTTACATATTACACTTTGTGTCTTCTTACTCATTTTATAATTTTTGATTCAATTTAACCATTTAACTCAATTTAAAATTTTTGTTTATAGCTGCCCTAATAATTTTATATTTTTATATCGTAGTCAGTTAATGAAGACTGTGAAATGAAAAGAATTCATTTCGTTTCATAAATCTCATTATCTTTGTCTTATTCAACTTTATCACTTAGGGACCGAATGTATATAAAGCCCTTAGTTTCGATCCATTATATCAACAACCACAGATTGACACTGTCTAAATAACAGTATATTTGAACTTACCTTTTTACTTGTTTATTAATGTACCAATTATTAGTATTATTAATATCTACTACGTTTTTGAATTCTAGAAGGATAGGTATTCACAAAACGATTATTTTTCATACAAAAGACCTATTCTAATTTTTATCAAGTTATCGATTTCCTACCAACATAGTTCATCGTTATGTTCTCCTAATCCCAACGGATATTCTAACTTTTCGACGGTTCTTGTAATAGTTTAAACAAAAACATTTCAAAGTTGGTCAGTATTTGTGTGAGAATTTATTCTACTAAGTTTAATTCTATCTCCTGATCGAAGATGAAATCTATGTTATTGATAGCTCCGGGATTGTGATCCAGTGTTACACATGTAAAACTAAAAAGTAAGTATTGTTCGTGTAAAGTTAACTGTTGTTAACAATGTTCAAAAAACGATGTTTTTATTTTTAAAAATATCAGGTTTTTTCAGTGGTCCAACTCACTTTTCTTTATCATAGTGATTAACCATGTTTTCAAACTTAATGGAGAGTATTTATTCTATGAACATCCTGGTTAAATAACATAATAAACACGGTCTTATTTAATTGGAGTGTGATATAGAACATTTATTTTCTCCCATTTGATATAATATGTAATCACATTTTACGAAGGAGTAAATAATTCCTATTTGTTCATTATAACCGTTTATGATATCGTAAACCTAAGTTCACATACTAAGTTATTGGTAACTTATCATGTCAAGTAATATTAAGTTTCATTTATGCGAATCTGACTATCAAGTTGTGTGACAAAACACACATAAATCATTGTATTTAGATAGTTTTGATTTGTTTTCGATGTACAATAGATTCCCATCTATCATACTCGTCTTCATAATCGCGTTGAAACAGCTCCACGATTTTCATTAGCGAGTACGAGTTTTCTGCAGCTTATGCCACCAATCAAACATTGTGAAAACCAACACGTTTGAAACGTAAGTTAACTGGTATGCCAATATATTTTTCCACCAGTACATCAGATAATATTATAGTTCTTTACTAAAAAACCTCAAAACTGATAATAGTATTATGATTACAGCTACCATCTTACAATCATTCTGGCAGTTGATTTTATAGCTAACTGGCTGAGAAACTACGACATTAATCAAATATACTCGGTTGAGAACATTTTCTTTACGACTGTCGAATGCACATAGAAAGGAAACTGGTGTACAACTTTACCTAGGTTGTAAATATTTTGTCCACTGAATTTGTTCTACTCTGATAATCAATTCTAAGTCTTGAAAATCATTGCACGGTATTTTTCTAAATAATATGCTTACCAATGACTTTAATGTAGGATATATATGCGAATTCAGGAGTACGTCTTATTCTTTGACCCTAACTGTCTCTTTCATCGTTCATTTAACATCTACATTAAAATTTCAACAAAAACAAGTAATGTAAGTCATAATTTTATTTGTAAATTGTTAATTTCACTAGTTTAATGGTAGGCGCTAAATGTGATTTGAATTAGCCAGTACATAAATATAATTCTAATAAAAATGAATACAACAATATCATATGATAGTCATATGACTGGAATTCACATCGCCTAAATAAAAAACGATAAACGAAAAGTAGAATAAATGAAGGATTTTTTGTTTTTATTAACTTGATAGTGATACTAAATTAAGTGTATTTTAGTATACATTAAACATTAAAGTTACGATTTGACTCAGTGAGTTGTAGAAATTAGTTAAATTAGAAAATGGCTTACATCGGTGACTGATGTTAGATGGAGAACCACTAACAACTGATGAGGGCTAGTATGAATCTCTTTATCAGCACTCATCCATGACCCTATCAGGGATTGCGCAAAGGCTTTTAGGTCTTAAGATGATTAAACTATCTACAGACCATTGACTTGTTTTCGGGATTTCACATTTTTGAATTCATTTTATTCGTGGTAGGGAACAACAATTTTCTAATGCTATCAGTGGATTATCGCCTCATTTTGAATATCGTCAACATAGATTCTTTCATAGTTTATCACACTTATTAGACCTCGTCTTTATGTGAAAGTGGAAAGCATTACGTTTTTTTCGCAATAACTATTTCATACTCTGGATATAAAGAAAGCAAAAGTCTTCCAGGATGAACGGCAAGACTATAATTTATGGACGAACCAATGAAATTCGGGACAGCAAGTCTTGAATTTTGGCATGAAAATTTATTCAACCATATAGAAAAGTAGCATGTTATATCGATTGCTTGAGTGCCCTGTTAAATATGTAAACGCGATAAGACCGCCAATCACAGAGGAGTGAATTATCGATCAGAGCAATGATACACAAAAGCCGTATGAGCAGTCTTGAGTACTTATCAGTCCTGCTATCTGCCTAACCGAGCCAGTTAAATCCAGAACACCAATAACAGCCTCTGTAATATGAATCATTATTCTCAAACATATTGTGTTTATATACCAAACAAACAGATCACATCGTACCATAAAATAGAAAATAACATTTGTACAAGATTCAGCCAAATGTGACTGTGAATAAGGGGATCAGTAATTAATAGACTGAGGATAACTCAGGAATGGTACATCGTATAATAATAGTCTATAAGTCAAAATAAAGCTTATGATAAGAAGGATGCGAATATGAATAGTTTAGTAACTTAACAATTATGCAATAAAAATATACATACCATCTTTCTTCACAAATAGTTCTCAAGGTTACCATTCATAGATCTCTACGGGATATAACAATTTATCATCTGAAACTAAGAAGAAAAAAGTAATGGGAAAGAGGTTAATATAGAAAGTAGTATAAATTGTATATGTTTTTGGCAAAATATATGGAAAACTTTTAGGTGACGTTAAGGTAACCTTGAAACAGCTCACCTACTTTCTAAGGTTAAAAAAAGTTTGTCAATTAGCATGAGGAATTAGAATTAAAACTTAGAGTTAGAATTTAGGGTTAGAAATTAAAGATTTTTTTATCACAAATTGACATTAGCTCTAATACATTAATGCTTGTTATATCCCGTGGAGATTTATGAATGGTAACTTTGAGAACTATTTATGGATCAATATGATATGTATATTTCCTACTGTATAATTATTAAGTAACTAAACTATTCATATTCGCATCCTTCTTATCATAAGCTTTATTTTGACTTATAGACTATTATTATACGATGTACCATTCCTGAGTTATCCTCAGTCTATTAATTACTGATCCCCTTATTCACAGTCACATTTGGCTGAATCTTGTACAAATGTTATTTTCTATTTTATGGTACGATGTGATCTGTTTGTTTGATATATAAACACAATATGTTTGAGAATAATGATTCATATTACAGAGGCTGTTATTGGTGTTCTGGATTTAACTGGCTGGGCTAGACAGATAACAGGGCCGATACGCACCCTAGACTGCTCGTACGGTTTTCGTGTGTTACTGTCCCAATCTATAATTCGATGTTCTCTGATTGGCGGGTTTTATCACGTCATACATTAACTAGGAATCCACTCGGCCACAAGATATAACATAAACCATTATCATCTTGATTATTTTATTTTATTTATTCTTTATTTGATTTATCTAAAATGTATTACAATGAATAAATATATCAATGTATACGGTTTTTTTAATAAATTCAATTTTTTTTATTTGAATGTTTATTGATAGGGGTAATTTTTTTAGTCATATTATATAAATAATTCTGTGTGTGTGATGGTGGAGAAGATTTGTAGCCCAGGTGGGTAGACTTCTACCCGAAGTTTGTACTGATGATATCGTTCAGAAGAATTATGAAAGCTCCACGACCAAACCATCCAACTCAGAGAACAAAACTCCATCAAAATCTATATGTGTGTGAATTTTTAGTCACATGGATACTATATGAAAACATAAACATTGTTAATAAATGAATGTAATGACGATAGTTATATGTAATGAAATCTTTACATAATCTATTTATATCTTTATTCATTGTATGACTAAGTAAATTATAATAAATATTTACTGTTAATAAGTTTAGAAGGACAAATAACTCTTCTATGAATAATATGCGATGAAAAAGGAAATATTCACATTTACTAAAAATACTAGTTAATTAACATGAATTTTATTAAGTAGGAAGAATATTTATTTGTAAAATCTTAGCGAATGAATTTGAAGTAAATTCAACGTTTCGCATGACAATCTGTTTTTTCAAGAAAAAAGCTTGGACCAGATTGTCAGGCGAAACGTTGGATTTACTTTATATTCATTCTCTGAGATCTTACAAATAAATTCTATTTAATATCTTACATCAACTTGGTGCCCAAAAACTGTGAAATTATTCGCTCTAATTTAGACGAAAGATCTTATATAACATGAATTGAACTTTTAAAACTTATCAATATTTACACAAAGAGACAATTAGTTAATGTTCTAATATTGAATGTTGTAGTAACGTGAAAATAATTTAACATAGTGTTATAGTGTATATTAACTCTTATAACAATTCATATAGTTATTTGAGGTTATTCATCACACTGGTTTATAACGCTCATTTTGTCCTAGTCAATAGATGGACATTCTCAAGGTCAATTCAGGCTCGCTAAAATGCCGTTCATAAATTACAGTCTCGCAATATGGTCCAACCAGTTTCCAATCCCATCCATCGGTTACTGTCTTATATCACACATATTTAAACCGCACTGATTACAGTTTCTTACTAGAACTTCTGCAATTATCGGTCCAAATCAGTTACTGGTGAGCATTTGATATATCGTGTATGGATTGGAGTGAAACACACAAACCATTACATTCCAATTCAATGATTCGAATGTTAAGTGGTCACCGTGAAACCTGACGGTCTCGTGTTCAATCCTCAATGGATTCATAGATGTGCACTAGTGAGGAGTCGAATGTTAGGATGAAACAATTGTAGTGCTTCCTTAATTTCGATGACTGTCAACGAGGATGAGTGAATGATATAAACCATCAGAACCACTTGGATGATGTGAATATATGACATAAGAAAATTGTTTCAATTTGAATAATTCTAACTTCAGACCAACATTCAATTATAGTAACTTGAATTTATAAAACGACCGTATTAGGTTATTCATATTCACGAACATGTGATTCTGTATAAACCCTTTGAAGTTAATCAGTTATATGACTAGTATATAAAGCCGGAATAATATTCTCCAAAAATTTAATCCTTCTGGTGTTGTTTATTTTGAAATGGAGATTTTTTTAGGTTGTAACAATGTGATGGAAACTGCTTTATATTCTTCCTAAACTGTTGTTTGTTGTATTCTATCAATATTCTATAGAAACTGGAATCAGGATCAACATTTTGTCCTGGTTCATACTCGCAATTTATATATATAATCTTTTTCAAAGTTTAACATCATACAGAGTTCAAACACGGTTTACAAAACTTGTAGCTGCCTAATTGAATACATGTAACACTCAAATAAACATCGGAAACTACAATGTATTTCATACTACATGAACCTATTCGAATGATTTCGCCTTTTTAAAGCTGCTTTGGTGTATTCTACTGATCTCGACTGATATAAGTAATATATGTCACCAATAGAAAGCGGGATAGCTGACGACAGAAGAATAATAAGATCGAAGACAAGAGAACAAGATCAAAGAGTGATCAGTGTAGAAATGAAGGAACAATCAATTCTGAGACAATGGATTAACATGCTGCAAATGAAGTATTTAATGTATAATTCTCAGATTTTTTTTCTAAGAGATTTTATAATTTTTCATTCAATTACATTTGATTGTCCCCAGTGGTGTTCTCGTTCATTGCACTAACATTGCCAATTGGTTAACAACTGTACTTAACACTACAGTACACAACAGTACAACTATAAAATAGAAAAATAACACTTCATCAATTTCTTATAACATTCAATATCTCAATCAGTCTGTTATCAATCGTTTGCCAACAGATATGTTTTCCTATTATACAAAACAAGAAAAGAATACTATATGAAGAAATTCAATTCCCCAATTTTATTTATTATAATTTATGTACTTATATTGAATAAGAAATACATAGAATACAAATATTTCAGATTGTTTATTGTTGATTACGGTCAAAAAAAGTTTGTTTATCAAAATTCGTACATGATTCAAGTTATTAAAGTACAATAAAGATAAGTTAAGGAAATTAGATTAGATTGTTTACATATTCACAAAATAATGATAATCTCTTTCTATTTTTTTGCTATTTTTTTCGTCTTTATTATATAATAATCTTTATGATTTTAAACAAAACAAATCAGTGATATTATATCCTTTGACAATCATAATAATAATAGGTGTAGGTTATTATTTATACTCTTTTGTATTGATTCATCGGTTTAATGATTGTTTCATGAGGCTGCACGTGCAATACCAGCTATAGCCATAAACATGAATACAACATCTACATAAAGTTGCATTGCACCAAATATATACTCTTCTGGTTCAAGTTCAAATTCTCTTCCACCCATTATTAGTTGTGTATCGTAAGCCAAATACTGAGAAGTGTATTATGAATAATAATAATAATAATAATAAACATGATACAATGTTAAATAAATCATGAAATGAATAAATGAAATATAAAGAATAAGCCACTCATTAAACTTCAGTGTTATATCAGTCAAATGTTTCAAAATCTCTCACAGTTGAAATCATGAGTCAATTGAAGCTGGACCACCATGGAAAATCTGGAAGCACTGGACGGCCGTCTCGTCCTATTATGGCTTCCAGGTTTTCCATGGTGTTTAAATAAAGACAGAACAAATAATGATTCAGAATAATATGAATTCATTATATTTCGTGGTTTCTCATCAGCTGCTTACAACCAAATATGCATTAGAGTTTTAGCATTGGGGTAATCAATAGGATGGAACGACTGACATAAGTGAATGTAAAGGATTGGAATAACAAAAGGCCATCAATGATAATTATATATATATGGGCAAGGAAAAGTCAGAGGTTATTAGGTATTAGAATGAAGGGTGGCGTAATAGTCGAGTGGAGTTCAAAGACAGATAAGATCAAAAATGTGATTATTTTAGAGGTAATTAAAACAATTAGAGTGGGTTACGTAATAATTGAATAATTTTTAGAGGTAGTTGAAAACAATTAGGATGGGTTACACCTTTCTTGTTTGCGACAATCACAAACACTCCATCAATCTGCTCAGTCTGTTTAATAAAGCACACAAGGATATAGAATTTACCATGGAACATGAAAACGAAGATAAATTCCATTTCCTAGATATTGGAATTAGATGAACACCAGTGGGTACATTACAAAGATATGTTCACCACAAAAACACTTGGAGTGGACTGTATCTCAATTACTACAGTTTCTGTCCAATGAGTTACAAAAATGGTATTGTACGAACCCTTTTCGACCGCGCACGCAAAATCTGCTCCAATGAGTGTCTTGAGGAAGAAATGGCTTTAATCGCCAAATGCCTACGTGAAAATGCATAACCGGAGAAATTCATCCACAAATATGCAAACACCAACCGTCGAATAAAGTATGATCGAGTTGAAAAGAAAACATGTTGCCTATACCTACGTTTCAAAGGAGACGAAATCGCTGGAATAATTAATCACAGACTTAATTCCGCGTTGAAAGCGACCTACCCAGCAGCTAAACTGACAACGGTGTGGGAAACAAACTGCTCACTCAAACAAACTAAAATCGCCAAGTCATCTTTTCTCAGTAGCTCCAACTGCATTTACCAATTTACATGTACGTGCCAAAGCACATACATTGGAAGAACCGAGAGAAAAGTGCATGTCCTCATTTCTGAGCATGTTCCTAAGAAACTGAGGCTGCAGGGGTCCAGGGCTCTCAACAGTGCGATAGCTTGGCATTTACTCGACACCGGGCACAGCATAGGCATTTCTCATGCCTTCAAAATCATTAGTAGACAAAGAAGTACAACTGCTCTCCCGTTTGCTGAAGCGATCACGATAAAAAAAACTCAAACCGGATCTGTATACTCAAAAAGAGACAGTGATAAACTTATTACTATCCTGGTAATCCTTTTTTGTTTCGGTTTTTTTGTTTGTTTGTTTCGGTTTTGTTGTTATTAGTTTAATTTTGGTTATTATTCAGTTTTAATTATATTCCTCTTCCCTTACCCAATTCTTAAACCACCCTTTCTCTCACACATTTCCGCTCATTTGTCTCTCCTAATTATATGAACTATCCAAATTTTATTCAATTATTACGTAACCCACCCTAATTGTTTTCAACTACCTCTAAAAATTATTCAATTATTACGTAACCCACTCTAATTGTTTTAATTACCTCTAAAATAATCACGTTTTTGATCTTATCTGTCTTTGAACTCCACTCGACTATTACGCCACCCTTCATTCTAATACCTAATAACCTCTGACTTTTCCTTGCCCATATATATATATAGTTATCATTGGTGGCCTTTTGTTATTCCAATCCTTTACATTCACTTATGTCAGTCGTTCCATCCTATTGACCGATAACTGAAAAAAATAACTAATGATAATGAGCTGATACCTAATAATATATTTATTAATGAATAAAATAACTTACCAAACCAAATAATAGGGTCAGTATACCACTATAAACGCCCTGTAGAATCTAGAAAAAATACATGTGAAATGCATTCATTGATAATATCACTCAATAATAAAATGTAACTGACCTATATAGACTCTCTAGTCAATAATCCGTTAATTAAAAATAATACAATCAATAAATTCATAAAAATGAACTTGCTTTCTAACTAAGATTATGATATTCATAGATAGTGGTAGAAAATTAACTAATTTGATCAAGTTCGCACGATCCTACCTTAACAAACACTAATAATAGCAGTATTATTGTATGATTAAATATAGTTACATTGAGATTAATTTTCAGTTTAAAGATTTCACTATTTTGTTGATTTGAGTTAGTTTAAGTTAACGGTTTGTTTGTCTTGACATTGTTGATTTATATTGTAAATCACCAAGGGTATACGTGTTTAACATTATGTTTTAATTTGTCTAGCATTTCATCTCACGTATCAATTTAGCTAACATATAGTAAGTAACGAAGATTCAAGTGGCATGTTAAGTTTTAATGTTTAAAACAAACAATCTAGTTTCATCATATTATAATCAATTCATGTGACCTGTATATGTATCAATCTTGCGATTAAAAAAAAAAAAGAAAATCAGTAATCTGTACATTATTCAATCAAAAATTGATCATTCAAAGCATAAATCGATAATTAATTGGTAATAATGTTACTTTATGACTGATTATTGTTTGAGTTTATGTTAACAAACGATTTTGAATGGTCTTACCGTTAGATTAATAATCAATGAATCTGCCGTTTAGTAAGTCGGTTTTACAGTTAGAGAATTAAAGTATGAGTTATTATAATTACTAGAAAAGTGACAAGTGTTTTCTCTGTTTCGGATATATCTATTATTATATATATCTATTATTATTATTATTATTATTATACCTATTATTCGCATGAAAACTGAATTCTTCATAAAAGGTGTTAAATCTGAACTCATGGGCATTTCTAATTAAAAATGAAAGACTAGACGATTTAACTGACATCAGCAACTTAGTAGTACAGTTTATTTCTAATTAAATTGAATTCAAAATGTTTAACCCTTAGTTATTCAAAGTTTTAGAAAAAAAGAGATATAATTACCTTATTTGGTCCCAAAACAAAGTATACAATCATAATTGCAATCCCAGTAAGCATAACAACACAGCTAAATACAAATAAAAAACCAGAGCACATTGTAAAATCAAAACGTGTTTGCATTGCGAATAGAGTAATGCAGATGCATAGAGCAAATGTTAGTGCTACAGCAATTAAAGCTGCTTCAGCTCCGTAGAATGCACCAATTGAACCAGCCATATAGGATAAAGCTAATGTCTATTGACCGTAGAATAAATATGAAAGGCAAAGAAATAGAATATTTGAAAATCATAAATAAATTAGAGTAGTCATTAACAACATTCTAAGGTGAAAAGTTTAGATCTATAACAGTGGTAGGGAGACTCGTCAGTAAACTTCTATTGATTGACTTCACTTTAAAGTTAGCGTTCAAGTAGATTGATAAAATTTTTTAGGATAGACTAAATCAATCAATGTAAAAATAATTGATTTACAATATACATAACATTAAAAGTCTTGGGCTTGACATCTGATGAGGTTGTGGATACACGCCCCTGAAGAATCCCATACTAAGACGAAACACCAATCCAGTGCGTTTTATTTTTCAGTGGTCGTTTAAGCAAGGTCTCTCCGCAACTTAAAGTACGAAATTTAAAAATCTCTACAAACCTCTTGCACCTAATAACTGTTTCATCAATAAACAATATCTTTTTAATCAGTAGGATTTAGACTTCATGAGAAAACGTTGCATTATCGTTGATTATTCTTATTCTAGATGTGATGCCCAAGACAGATACGGGTTTTTAAATTCATTTAAACCAGTTGTAATGTCTTCCTATTGATCTTTTATCATCTATCACATAAAACATGTTCTGCATGTAACACCTGAAGATTATAGTCAAAAGTTTGCCAAGTGAAATAACTTCATTTAAAAATATTGATTTCGAACATAGTTCTATATGAAAGAAAGTCTATAGACCACTTATCAGAGTATAAAATCTGTGTTTCAGTTTTCACCTTTTTCTGAAGCAAAGCATTAAACTGTAAGTGTGGAAAATTTTGATTATCAAACTTCATAGAAATCAATAGAATAACTTGCTATTGTCACATTATCAATTTACTGAATGATTTAATAAACTTAATGGAAAAATACTGTTGGTATTTCGTGTTAATACAACCGTGCATTTTCTAAAATAGGGAAACTATCAGAAAAAGGAACTTATTTTCGAAAACATGTACTTTAATTTTACAGAAGTCAGCAATCCATATGTCTGTAGTCAATACTGCTGTATATTAAGGTATCTTGATTTTTCATCTAACTAATTAACAACAAAACTCTTTGGAACATTCATGTCTTGTTACATCGACTAACTTTAATACATAGATTTAACGATACTATTTGATAAACACAGCCTGATGTAAAAAGTATGAGGTAATCAATTTTACGGATTATTATAACATTCCACTCTAGTCTTGTATCCAAAACATTTAGGTTATTTAAAATGTGTTATTGATTGCTTGACTGATCAATCGTAAATATGGACCATGTGATGCTATTTCGAATTGACGTAACATTTGTCCATTATAAGCACTGTGACGAAAATATACAAAGAAATAAGTATTCAATTTGGTAATCCTTTATTTATGTAATTTTCGATTTTGCTGCTTTAAAGTCTTTAAATAAATTGATGGATCCTTTTAGTTTGCCCTGTTCTAGTCTTTATAAAATAGTAATGTTGGGCTAAGGAAACGATGGTTGGTGTAATTAACAAAAACAATGACAATCTCAATATAATTTTACGTTCGCTTCAATATCTAGATTATATGTGTATTTCTAGGTGTAGGAATCTTTTATAGATGATTTTCGTCACTAACTGAGATGAATTAAGGTACCATCGAAGACTGGGGAGCACTGAACACCTGTTTCATCCTCATATAAAACCAAGCTGTCCTCGATTTCCACCCCTACAGGAATAGGATCCATACTCTTCATATTTTGAAGCGAGCGCTTGTCCCAAGTTGAATTCTAGTGGTTCATATTTCTAACTTTGACCAATTTCAAATGTTCAGTGGATTCAAGGCAATATATGTTTGGCAATATTTATCTCCTAGTGGTTAATAGTTTAATCACAAATAATCAGCCTTGCAGTTCTCCGTATTACTTCGTCTATTCTCAGTACGGAAATTAATAACAAAGTTATAATTATAGATTGAATATTTCAAGTGATCACTCTGATATCACTTACAATGCTGGTCTAAAATAAACCTGTGATAAAACGCTTCTCAATAAGACTTTTAAAAAGAAATACTAACCGAGTGAGTGGAAGCTTCTAAATATGTTCTATGTGAGTAAAACCTCAAAGGGTTGTTATTAACTATTTTTCTATGAGTTCGTTTAATACTCTTACACTTCCAAGTATTAAACTAAAAACTCAATGATCTGAAGTAAGTGCACAAAATTTCCTTTTGAAGCCCCAAATCTCTCAAACCATATTAATAAAATATTTCTTAGATGTAAATCAGATATCTAAAGACGATAGTTTAGAAGAATTTCGACTTCGTATATAAAAAAAAGCATACGAGTATTTTATGATTATACTAGTTGCTTGAGATGATTGACATAAAATAACCAAGTAGATCCAGGTAAGTGAACAGTTTATGGATGAGTTTTATGTGAGAAACACTAAGACATTTAATGTAATGAAAATTAAAATTTCCTGTTTGTTAACTAACAGGCATTCATTAAAGTAAATGCTGAAACTCATTGAATAAGAAAATCGGAATATGGTGTTAACAGTAAAAACGAAAACACTTCCGGGAACTTTCTTACAACTTCAGGTTTTATTATGTAATTTGGATTTTCTAAAACTTTATAAACTTTATTAAACAAATCGTATAAGAGTTATTGATCAATTTTTAGTGATATTTCCTAAACCATGTCAACAGCTATCTTCGGTTAAATCTCACTTCATTTGATTAAAGCAGTTCCACTGATAATAAGTGGATGAAGAGCCAGCCATTACAGCTTCTCTTTCATACATATGTATACCAATACATTACCACTACTGTGATTAATGCTTGTTTATTATCCATATGATGTTATTCTAGTAGCTCTCCCTAGCTGCCACTTTACAACTTCGACCAATTCTCAGCTTTTAAATTCTAATTTTGTTTTCTGTAGAGAAATAATTTTAAGCTACATTTGCTAACAAACTATTCAGAATATCCATCGCCAATGAGAAGTGAATGTAAAAATATATGTTTATTTCAATAACAATGAAGTTCGATCATGAATACTTAAACTATTTTTCCAAAGTACCTATTAAAAACATATACATTTCATGTGGTCTGTTCTGTGATTCTGTCAGCTAATAACTAAAGAAAAGACTCAAAAGTAGCACTGACCGAAATCACTACGACAAGATTGAAGAGACGATAGATATCGATAACTGAAATGTTTAGGCAGAAAGATTTGTTTGGCATAGTGAAACAGTATTATCTGATGTTTACTAAACATCAGACCACCTCTAAAGCATAAAATAGTCTTATGGTTTAAATGTAGTTAAATAATTAACATTAATATTGTATTCATTCATTTTTCTAGGTGTTTAATAAAATTTAAATTAAAATGCTTCAGATCAACTTACAAATACAGTTAAACATATATAGTTCCCGGGAAATCTTCTACGTACACTTACAATACAGCCAAGTACCAAATACGTTACGAAAAATACTGCACTACATACAAGCAATAAAATAGTAATATTAGTACCTCGAAAGAGAAAAATGGAAATGAAATTATGATACCGAAACATTGTATCTTCTATAAATAAAACTAATTAAAGCCAGAAAGTCACTGACGGTATTCTCATCCCAGTTTTCCTCTCTTCGTAGAAAATATACTTTTATTGAACCAATCAATATATCATTGCAATTAACAGTATTCCTAAGATTTCAAAGTTTTTTTTTAAATATAAGCTGAATGCTCTATCATCTTTGATTTTATCAATATCACAGGCTGGAGTTCGATGAGAATCAAAGTATGACTTCTTTAAATTATTTTAGAACTGAGTCAAGTACTTACTAATTTACGATATTTTTATCAACTTTTATCAGTCTACATAGTTGAAATCATGAGTCAATTGAAGCTAGAACACCATCGAAAATCTGGAAGCACTGCTTGACGGCCGTTTCGTCCTATTGTGGGACTCTTCAGCGGCGCACATCCTCTGATCCCGCCTCACGAGATTCCAACCCAGGACCTATCAGTCTCGCACGCGAGCGTTTAACCACTAGTCGGCATCTAACGGTGTTAATGTCTAACCTCTACCAATCCACGAAATCCAACAACCATTCACCATTCAGTGCTTCCAGGTTTTCCATGGTGGTCTAACTTCAATTGACTCATGATTTCAACCATCTAAAATTATTAAAATCTCCACAAAACTCCCTTCTGATTTTATTAGTTCGTAAAGAAAAAACTGCCCACTACAACAACTATTAACTTTTTAAACTTAATAATTAAAATTTGTGTATAAACTTACTAGGCTAAATAGTAGAACCAAGAGTTACGACGCACCCAATTCGTCACGGGTTTACTAACAGAAATAGTTGAGTTCAAAATGAAAATTGTTACTTACACAAGACAAAAAACACATACGATTCCAAATGTGAATAATAATTGCACACTAAGTGTAAAATATACCTAGATAAGAGAAATTAAATTAAAATTCGTGTAAATTTAATTAAAATCAGAAATATTTAAGGAAAAATTTAGTTGTAGTGAAGACACTTCAGGTTTTTAAAGCACTATTACTTTCAAATGGTATCGATTATGAAAGTCTATCTGAATAGACCATCGGATTTGGTAGATTGAGCCAAAATGTAAACTATTTTTAGAAGTGCACGGTAATCTTAACATCAGATAGTTGGATCAGAAATGACAATATATTATCTTAATGGAATAACTTACAATAAAAACTGTCGTTAAGTATTTGGTAAACTTATTATTTCCTTAGCATATTGATGGTTTGACCCATGATTCATTCACAATCCAATTATAAAATTATACTTAATTGAAACATTTAGGCAATCTGATAAAGCTAAGTCTATTGGCCGTCCAGTGCTTCGAGGTTTTCCCTGGTGGTCTAGCTTCAATTGACTCACGCTTTCAACTATGAAAATACTAAATCTCCACAAAAGCCCCTATTGGAATACGTCAACTTTTTTGTATATAGCTTATATGGGTACACTGTTGACAAACGATTTATTAAAAGTTTTCATATGAATGAAAACTCAGTTATTTGTTAAGCTAATATCTTAGTCCTATGATTATAGATTAGGATTCTCTTCTTCAATTGGTTTTGATCCCCCAGTTGGCAATTTGATATTTCAATGTTCATGTTGTGTTTATAAAAACACATTTAACTTTTAGTTCATTTTGAGTGAATAATTTTCCATGCAACTACCGCTAAAAAAATTTAAAATAAAATCAATTTTCATACCTTGAAGTTTTAGATATTTAAATTTTTCTCTATAAAATTTTATTAACAACTACGGAGTTATAAGCAAAGTTGGATAATGGCTAGCAGTGGAATCCAGGACGCGCGTTTCGTCCTATTTGGGACTCGTCAGCTGGATGTACCTGCATCTCACAGTTGATGTTCACTCTGGGACTCGAAACCAGTACCTTTCGTTTCAAACGCCATCGCGTTATCCACTCGGTCACTGAGTCCTGATAGCCACTGCTAGCCACTATCCATATTTGCTTATAATGCTTTTGAATTTAAGCAATATCGAGGCAATACGCATAGTATGCACATATGCCAATAAGAGACTGACCAGTTGCAGTCCTAAGCATCAATGGGAAGATTAAAACAAACAATAATTAGTGAATTCAAACTACGGAATTAGTTTAAAACTAGCTTTGTTAACAATATCATTGATAAACTATAACTTACTTTACGAATAAATGCATGACGAATTGTTTTATCATTAAATTTTGATGCAGTGAATTGATTCTCCATGCGTCCACCTTCACCACCAGTGTTGTTATTATTAAAATGTGGGTTGTCATTATAATTTCCATATGGGTAACCATCTCCTCCTTTTCAAAACAACGTTAAATAAGACATGCACCATAAATATCTATAGCGATATGTTAGATTATGATGCGTTATCATGATCACTATTAAGAAGGATTACATTTCTTTCTGCTTCAGAATAGTGATTACTCGATTATAAACTAAATTATAAGATAAGCACTTTCTTATACTTTTGCTTATTGATCTAGGCAAGCAGTTTCATAGCATAATTTAATGAGCTTAAGCTGTAAACCATCCATCAAGTCTGTAACAACTCTCCCATAATGACTTTTAGTCAAAACCAGCCTGCAAGCGGCTAAAGTAATACTCCATTTTGTTTAAATTCACTTAATCGTTTCTAGAAGTCTTGTCATGAACTCATCATTGAGTGACTGAATATTGTCAACATAAAGTTATTTTTGACATACACATCGTGTTTTCCCGCATCTACGGACTAGGAGTATAAGAAACATCAAGGAAAATCAGCAAGCGATACCTGTAACAGTAATAGAGTTTTGTTTTCAACAACGATTGCAGCACAGATTTCTTTGTGGTTTCAGTTACACTTTACTGTTGGGTAGAAATAGGTATAAAGTATGCACCAAATTGCCTCTTATCATCCGATAAAGCTATTTTTCAATGCTAACTAAATGAAAGTTTTTCGATATTGTAAGATTATCAGCTTTCATCTGTGTTACATATTCGTCTTTGATAGATTCGTCTGCAAAATAACATCTTCACTTGTTGAGTATTATACACTAATCTTTACAGTGCAGCATGTATGTTTCCTACTTTCTGTACTGACACATAAAATATTTGTTTTACGATAACTGTGATATTTGGTATCGTACACCGATTCATAATGTCTTAAGATTACATACTTCAAAATACCATCAAAAGGAAAACATATTAAATTAATCCGTAAGAGCAAATAAAACGGACAGAGTACAACTTGATGATTACTAACCGAATCCTTAAGGCTTACAGGAATATAGGAATTTGTGATAACCAGTCTCGAGTTACATAACCTAGCTTTCCTAACCACTCACCTTCATCATCTCGAAAACTCCAATAGTGAGTTCAATGATCACTCACTTAAATTTGTAATAAGTAACTTTGATGGATGGTTTCCTGTTCTAACATCACTACACTTTAAAATATTTCCAACCTATTCTTATTTTATAGTATCAGTAAATTTCAGAAAAAATGTACAGCCATATGTGTGAAATACATGCATTAACTACAACAATGAATACTGGTTCACAACTTTATCGGCTAACTAGACTTACCGTCCTCGGAACGTACATCTATCCTCTACTGCTAATCTTTGGTTGCATTATCCATAAACTAAATGAGACAGGCAATTTACAACTACGAACAACTTATAAATTAATGTTTCACAAAACTTACCAAATTAATTCATGACAAAAATGTCAAGACTTCTTGAAGAAATAAAGAAATACGTATAATTTTATATATATAGTTGAAATCATGAGTCAATTGAAGCTAGAACACCATCGAAAATCTGGAAGCACTGCTTGACGGATGAGTCGTCCTATTATGGGACTCCTCGGCAATGCGCATCCACGATACCACCAGATTCAAACCCAAGACCTATCAGTCTCGCACGCAAGCGCTTAACCACTAGACCACTGAGCTGGTATCTAAGAGTGTTAATGTTTAACTTCAACTAATCCACGAAATTCAGCAACCATTCACCATTCAGTGCTTCCAGGTTTTCCATGGTGGTCTAACTTCAATTGACTCATGATTTCAACCATATAAAATTATTAAAATCTCCACAAAACCCCCTTCTGATTTTATCAGTTTGTAAAGAAAAAACTGCCCGCCGCAGTATTTTCGTACTGAGGATCTCTTGTATACATACTACAAGTATTAATAACAAGTATTCAGGAACTTATATTCTGATAATAATGTATAATTATCGATTTCGAAATTTCAAACCACTAGTCATTAGAAAGCTGGGAAACTGAATATGAGATTTTCTGTTATAGGACAACCTTCTTCAGAGTGAGTGGGATAGATAAATTACAACTAAAGTACTATATATGACGGCTTGTCGATTATAATGTAAAGATAGAACGAACACAACAGGGTAATAATAAACTAACACTTGTAGAAATATTTTACCAACTCTTTCAAATCCTATTTCTGAATTTAGAACATAAAAAGTAACGAATTTTTAGATAACATTAATCTACACATTAGTTTAACCTTCATCATTGATGATAATTATATCTCAGATAAATTCATCTCACCTTGCCAATGTGAACCGATATTAGGTGGATAAAGAGGTGGGGGTTGAGTTGGATATGGACCTTGGTGTCCGTTTACGTGTGGTGGTGGTGGTCCATATGGATACGGTGGTTCGTTGTATGGTGGTTGGAACCGCGGGTCGGCCATTTAAAATAAATCCGTTTTTTTTCTTTCAGGATCTAATTATAGTAATAATTTTCTTGCATTGGGAATGTTATTGTAACCTTACAATGCATATATATTGGAAATTAGAATGAATTTAACCTTGAAATTGTTTATCGAAATTAAACTCAATAATGTAAACGTACACCCATATGCTCTGTCTAAGGATTGGTTAATAACATAGATCGATAAATCACCATGAGAACAACTGATCAATATATCTCAACAGTGGGCTCAATAATTAATTCTAAGCTTGTATCACGTGTTTTAAATTTTTTTTCTGTAACCTGTTGACTGACCTTTAGTTTGCATCTTACTTCAATCTTCATTTTCTAGACAATGAAAACGTTTTCTAATCCATACTCAGGCTTTATTTATCTACCATAATGCTCCAAAAATTCTGAAAATTGGAGACATAATAAAAGACATATTTGACAAGTGAAGAAGTAGCCTAAAGCTCTTAATCAATTATAATTTTACACTATTTGATCACCATATAGTAATCACTGTCAGGCTTATCTATTTTTTAAGATAAAATAAAGCTGATATTGGTTACCATTCAATGGTCATTCTTAGTCCTATAAGAATCCAGAAACATTCCAGATGGCTTATTTTGGTAATATCTTCGATTTTAATACATGAATATTGCAGTTACATATCTATGATGATAAATAGTTAGCACAAACCTTAGGCCCAGAGCTACGCGCTGACTGTTTCCAACAATTTATCATCAAAACCTGTTATTTATTAATGCTAGGTAATTTTATGAGCGGAGAATTTGCAACCTACAACAAGTCTTTTGTTTTCTGAAATCGTTTCAGATGTATTTTTAAAGCTGATTTTTATTATCACACTTAGTATGAGTGTATTTAGGTATAGATGTCAGTACGCTATATTCTTTTTTATAATTATATAAACTTTTAAAAATATCAACTAAGTAAACAGAAAGAAAGATCTTTTGATGTTGATGGTAACTATCAATATTGAGTATCATCAATAGACTGGTAACCGTAATTAACTACAAAATCGTACTGGAGGGAGTCCTTATATTTAATAAGAAACAACGATAACCATGAATAGTAAATTGGCGAAGTCTAGCTGCGATCTGTTTTGTACTTGGTACTAAAAAATATATATAACATGGAAGTTTCATAAAGTGTATGCTAACTGAAAACTAATCGTGTTCAGATGAAAATTTACCCAACTTGTCGGATTAGTTCCTAGTTGGTTAGATCTGATGATGACTGTAATTTGTTTAGGTAACAAACTTTACAGCCATGTCAACAAATACTTTGTGTAATAATTGTCATTATAAAGGATTTATTTACTATTGAAATATAATAACCGACCTAGCGTCTACAACCAAGTACCTTCTCTCATTTATCTTCTCCGACTAATCCATGACATAAGTAACTAAGACATATTTCGAAAAACCGTGAAAATTTACTGCTGAAAGCTTTTAGAAGAAGGCTTAAATGGTAGTTAATGTATCATGTTCTCTACCTTGGAAAGAGACAAAATTTAAACTCCCTAGAACAATCATGTCACTATATGGAAAGCCTGCAACTACAGAAATAGAAGCCACTTAAGCTATTTACATTTACCTCTAAGATATCACTCTGTATGAACATATATTCAGTTATTTTTATTAACAAGACGTTCTTCTTTTCATTTATGCCTTGTGTTGATCCAAGATTCGACATGTTCTCTCGCCGAATGCCAATAATCGGGTTTTGATGTAAATCTGGTAGGCATATGTGTCTAAAACTTTGAACGTAGTGATGTCCTTTAAAATGTTTCAATTTTTAAGTATCAGCCATATTTAATCTTAAGTTTACTCCTTATTGTGCGACAGTTTGACAGGTTGTAGTCTGTGTCATTCCTCTTTACTGATTATAAGTAATCCCAACAGCATTCATTCATTAACTAAATGAACAGCAATGTCTCAATAAGACCAAATATACATTGCTTTTAAGGTCCTTTCAATTGTAAACTGATGTCAGCTAAAAGACTGTTGAAAACCAATAGATAATCAATCGCCTTTTGTTTTAGTTTGGCATTCCTTGATGGTGTGTACCCAATTTTCCACACATGATTAGGCTGACAACTTCCAAATCTCGAAATACAATGGTTCACATTTACTATTTTAATCTGTTCATCAAAAGCTATGATCTTTATTAAAGGCGATCAGTGAATTACTATTTCACTTTCAAATTCATCAACTTCACAAGCTGAAGTTTTCTGAAGCTCCATAACTTTCAATAGTTCTGTGATAATCGTCAACTGTCATCAAAATATGAGAAATTTCATTAAATCGCTTCAATATACATTGTTCATCTAATAAATAGTATTAATTGTAACTCGATCATCATATTTTCGATACAACAGGTAACGTTTTAAAATCCCTACTTCTTTATGATCCTGATAGTAAAGAATTTAGTAGTCAATGGTTATTTATTTATAATGGTAAAATCTTAAATAAATTTTGAAGTACTTCTAACATTAAAAAGTCTGAATATTTGCATAAGGCTGTAAAACAACAAGTGAAGTATATAATGAATTGATTATTCCAATCAAACTATTACCTTCCATTTTTAAATCCAATTCAAGAGTTTGTTTTGAAACTGTAGGTGGATTATTTAGACGATCATGATATCATAAGCAAGATAAAATTTGTGTTCACAACAAAAACAGTCACACTTCAAATTAACATCACATGATATGAAATTAAAACTACATTAAAGTAGATCTTCATCGAAGGTATGGGAATGTAGTATAGATAAATAAACACGCAGAAGCATTAATCATTTAAATTGTGGACGTAAACAGTTGACAAAATGTACTACCTAAGTTTAATACGTAAATTGGTTTATTTTTAATGACAACAAAAGTCTCCATTCATTTTAACGATTGGTTGTTATTTATTTTTCATGAGTTAACACTGATGTTCAGTACACTATCCTTAGGACAATAGTGAATATCTTCATAGTAGCTAAATGGGAAATAGGAGTAAAACACAACTGACTAAATCACATACTTCAGATGATAACTTATCTGCTGCCTTTGTGTAAAAACTCTCAAAACAAGAGAACAAAGACTATTTTAACAAGGATTTACCTAAGGGAATAAAGACAAAGTGTTTTGTTAATGTACTTAATTATACATATTTGAAAGAATGATTTAAGCAACTAACAGTTAATCTGTTAGGAGGAGTATATATATATATATATATATATATATATATATATAGAGAGAGAGAGAGAGAGAGAGTGTGTGTGTAATATGTGTCAAGCATACATACTCATATGGACATGGTGAAAAAACTAAGTTATAGATAAATTGTTACTGTTCGAATGACACTGTTAAATAAGTTAATTAAAGGTCCTAAGAAAATTGAATGCATACAGACCAGAGTGTACGTGATCTGCAATAGATCTTTTAGAAGAAAGTATACAAAAATTATTTTAAATACTATTGTTCTTTAGACGACAATAATCCAGTTGTGTAGGTAACTCAACAATGTAAAAAAATATTTTAATATCTTCTATATAAACTATGATGAATAACGTCAAAATAATGAATATATACTTGTAAATTATGTTAGATTTTATTAGTCAACTAAAGCTTTGATGAATTTCTCTTTTGGACAACTCAGTTTTACGTTTAGATTTAAACGTAAAATGTATGAAAGTGTTAAGTATGAGATGATATTTATTTTATTTATTTGAACACATAAATATTGGTACAAAGGGGAACCAGATATATATGCGCCACACAAATCAAATGAGATTTGTGTGAGGGTTGTGATACTGCCCGGGACTCTAAACTAAAGCAGGTGGTTTTCTTAAGGGGCCACACCCCGAGCCTTTGACCTAGAGGTCTAACCCACAAGGCAGTGGAGCATCGTGAGGAGATGCAGTCCCATGGTAGCCGGTAACCAATAACTGGTTCATACGCCATTTGTTCCTTCAGGATACGGGAGCCCATGTGCACTATTGGTTTGTAATCAGGGTTTCCAACTCCCCTAAGTGGACTTTACTTGTCCACCGGCCCGGTTAAAGCGTCGGACATTTGCTTTTCGTCCTCTCAATTTA